GCTCTTACAGAAAATAAGGAAAATAGCAGCTTAAAGCTGCTATGTTTCGTATGGTGAGTGTGGAGAATCGGAGACCCTTTCTACTGGAAACGAGGTATTCCATGTTAGTCCTCGCAAAACGCATCCGTATTTTGATTCGTAATCAAAGATAGATGTAGATGTCTATGAGTCACAGCAACCACTTACGATCAGGTGGACTGTGTGTTTGTTTGTCATCTCTGCCCTGTAAAAAATTACAGTATCGCCTTGCGAATTAACCATATTCTTTTATCAGAATATTTGTGGATAGTTGAGTTTCTTGTTCTCGAATCAAAAATTGAAAACGAGTTATGTGAAAACGTAGTTAAATGAGTAATGAGTATGTTTGTCAAAGTAAAAATATACAGAATATGGAATTTGTACTTTTTAAGAGAAATAATTGTTTTAAGAAATAATACAAATATTCGAAAAATCATATAGCAGTATTGTTTGTCATCTCAAAAATCTAAGCAGTCGTATGTTACTGTATTTTAAGGAAAAATTAATAAATTGCCTTTTATCATTATTTATTTAAAAATATCTATTCCTCATTTTTTTCTACACCGTAAAGGTTCCTTTTTATGTTGATTGTTTTTGACATGTCATCGCAAAGTTAAAAGTTCACACGAAAATTTCACGTCTCACTGTTGCTCTAAATTAATCTTTATCCATAGGAGCAATCAAATTTTTGAATAAGTCCTCACTCTCCCACTCTTGTTAATACTTCTGTTTTATGTGCTTCCCATTTTTTATCTTTCTGTATGCCGTATTTTCAGAAAAATTAAATTAAAATTCGTAGCTTGCTGTATAATACGGATATTGCACACGCGATAATCACAACACTGTTCAGCATCAACGATAATGGAGCAACATGCATACCTCGCTCTACGATCCGATATACCGCTTTACCTCTTTTCCACAATCCAATACTAGCAGCACGAATTGCTCGTTATTATGTGATTTTTTGAATTTACATTATTATGTTAATTTTACTCTTAGTACCTTAACATCTAACAATATACGAAAAAGTTTTAGGTTTTCTATACGAAGATAAGAACTTTATAATCAAAGGGAATAATATAAAAGATGATCCGTATTAGAGTATTTTTACACTATATATTATATAGTAACTTCTTGTGTAGCTATATTTTAAAAACCATTAACTAAGTCTGAAATAAAGACTGAAGTGTTATACATTCATAAAAATATTTACTTAGTAATTGGCATGTCACATCATTTAGATATCCAAGGTGTCCAGTAAATAGTACACCAAAGTGCAGGGGTTGATAGCTTGCGTCAATATCTAACTAAACAACGCAATATATGTTCCACAAAATGTTACGGATTTACAGTTATATTAAATTTTCCAAAATATTGAAAAATCTCTACCTTGAATCATGTTTTTTTTTTGTCATTATACATCTCGTAATGAAAAATTTCTTTTCTAGTATTTTTTTTAAATCAAATAATTCGAGAGTAGTCACTCTACTCAACTATAAGTCTTGTTTATATCAAAAAAAATATAAGAATGTATCTAAGAAATACATTTTTTTAATATTTTAATTGTACCATTTTCGTGTCACTTAACTTTAACCTACAGGGGTAAAAAATGTATGTAACAGTTTTGTACATCGAGATACTATGTACTACGTACTAGAGCGTCTATCTGTAAACAGTTTTTGCAGTAATTATTTTGTAACTTTACTCTAGCTACAGAGATAAAAAATTATTATGCCGTCTAGTCCAACGTCACTCAACAGGTAGCGCTAGATTGCTGAAAGATATAGTTAGCAAGCTCAATGCTCGCGAGGAAAACGTACGAGAAGTAAACGCCACCGAAGAGGCGTCGCTTACGCGTTTTGTTCAACAAGGTGTCGTGTGCCTATAGAATAAACATGCAGTGAAGAACGGCCAAACCTCAACTTCGTAATAGGTAAAATTGATATGAATCTTTTAGTAATTAGTGAGTACTATAGAAGTTTATCGAAAAGAGTATACACATTCGAAGGGAAACTAATCTACTCGTTGTAAAAATTAGTGGCTGTCCCGTACTTTTAAAAGTACATTAACATTTATATGTTATAAATTTTAAAAGTACATTAAAAGCTCTGAGGAATTGTTCGGATTAATCCCAGCCGCCAAATTTCGTGAACGCACTACACGGCAAACGTCCCGATACCATCCACACCATCTGGATGCTTGGCGGTCCACCACTGTACGTTTCAAAAGGAGTTTTCTTCCGCGTACAACCTCTCTGTGGAATAATTTACCACCGGTGATTTTTCCGGACCGATACGACCTGGGGACCTTCAAGAAAAGAGCTTACTCCTTTCTAAAGGGCCGGCAACGCACCTGCAATTCCCCTGGTGTTGCGGTTGATCATGGGCGGCGGTAGTCACTTAACATCAGGTGAGCCACATGCTCGTTTGCCCCCTCTTCTATAAAAAAAAAAAAAAAAAAAAAAAAAAAAAAAAAAACAATGCCGAAGACTTCTTTAGATATTTTAAACCTGCTCGGGTTAAGATATGTCATTTAAATAAAATAAGTAATAAAATAAATGAGTCCAAGTAATAATAATTTGAATAAAAAAAAGAATCATCAAAACCGTGGTAGTTTCGTGCGTTTCCCATCTGTATGGTTCACTTTTCATAATCTATGATTTTCATATAGAAACGGCAGCCACGTGGCAGCGGCTAAGTATATATATATATATATATATATATATATACACAAACATAAACACTCACGCCAGTCACCCAGAGGGGTAGGTAGAGACTACAGACTTCCATTTGGCACGATCCTGACACACCTCTCTAGCCTCCATCACATCCATATACCTACGCATACATGCTCGTCGGTTAAAGGTACTCTTAATTTGGCCCGTTTTCAATAAATCGCCAATTTGGTCGATAAATTTTCACCTAGGACGTCCCTTTCCGACTCTGCCATTCACTCCTGCAACATAAATAACAATGGCGAACGCCCATACAAATTTTTATGTCACGTAATCTGGAAGCGTCTTTACATCAAAAATATCAAATGCGCTTCACCATCTTTCCCTGAGATTGTTTGTCTAAGATTTTTTTATCGACAAGGCCGGGAATAATTGTTACGAGGCTTTAAAGATTTGTAGGTTATGTGAAATTATATCATTTAAATGGTTCAAGATTTATTATCAATTTATGAGTTTTTACCTACAGGATTTCAATAATTTATACTTATATTGATGCTCAATTAACAATTATTCACCATTAGGTATATTACTGTTCCAAAGTTATTTTTGAGTAATCAACTTGTGGAGCAGATTAAACTCTCTATTATGGAATTTATTCGCCTATTAAGGAATTCACTGCAGAGAATTCAGAATAATATGTTTAGCCATAGTACAAGTTCCACTTTAAAACTAGATACCTAATGAGGGCAGGGCATCCACGACTTTTCTGCCACCAGAGTGGCGCGGCGCTACTTACAAATCAGGTGTAATATTTGACAGATTACATAGCGGGAACTCAATTTGTTTGAAAAATGTAAGGTTACTGTTTCTTTATATACTATTAGTTATATTTTACATCAATTTGATTAAAACCAAACCACAGTTCATACAAGTTGAAAAAAAAGAGTTAAAAATGTACAAAACATTAAAGAATAATTATATATAATAAAATTAATATAATACTAGAGAAATTGATAAACCTTTATTTAAACCTAAATTCTCAATTAAATTACATTGTGTAACAAAAAACTTCGCCTGTGTCAACAGGCGACATCTGGTGAATGGAAGATTATTAGCCCTCATTGGATTGAAACTATTTATCAATATTATTCGACCAAAGGTAAATAAAACAAAAAATTAATAATACAACATTTATTCGTCATCATCTTCCCTAATAATTAGATTATTAATTAGATCTAAAAACTCTGCCGGTGCTGAAATATGTTGCTGATGTCTGGCCCATCCTAAATACCAAACTAAGGTCATGACATGTGCGCAACAGCCTACTGTGCGCCGACCTACTAAACAGCTACAGCAGTACTCTGCGATTCCTGTTCGGCCAGGCATATTATTTTCTAATAATATTGTCTCCGGGTTACATTACGTGACTTAATTTTGCCTCTAATCAATGTAGTTTCATTTGTAGATCTCCTAAGATCATATTCAGATGGATCGAATTGCTCACTACAGATTTCTATTCTATATCCGCCATGGAAACGCACATGCTCGCCGTAATATAAGAGAGCTTGTTGAATTTGGTACGTTCCCAGGGCGAACAAAATCAGAACTTTCATTTCTAATATTGGAAAATAGAAAATGTTATCCCTATCTGCAGTAATACTTTGAAAGTAGGATGTGCGTCTGTTCATATTTCGATCTTCAACCATATTAGCCAGATTATTTTCGAAATTCATTCGCTGACTAATTATTTCTAATATTTCTGTGGCATATATATTATCTACAAAGCGAACACCAAACCTGTTTAACAGAGCCGCTGCTATTTGGAAGTTTTGCATCATATGTGGTAAAGACCTATGGAAATATTCTTGTCGAAATATTTTAAAATCTCTTTTAAAATGTCCATTCACGGCCTCTACCACCCATCTGCAAATTGTGCAACAGCGACGACGACGCACGAGCATGCTACGAGCAGTAGTGAGTTGGTGTTCATCTTCTATCAAAGATTCTGGCATATATGGTTTGAACCCACATCCTTCTAACAAACTTATACTGTCTCTGGATCCCCTATCCAAGATAAATATATCATTCTCTCTAAAATATGATCTTAAGGCAGAACTCTCACTGAAAAAATTGGTCATTATTTCTGCATCTGATGTAGTTGCTTTGTATGGGCCAAAACAATCAACAATATATCCATCACATGCGACAATCATGAATGGTTTTAATAAGTTTCTATATTTGTGAAGGGAGTAACTCTGTTTTTGGAACATGTAGTTTAAACTTTTATTTATGTATGTTCCGTCACAAATTACAATAGCATTTGTGTTGTTTTCATTTCCATAAAGGCCAGTGGTATTGTTAACTTTGCTCCAGAAGTTGCTACAATGTTACAATCGTTGAACACACAATGTTTGTTGTTGTTAGCCGCTCTTCTATAATCTGGTAAAGTCAATCCATTTGGTGCGCGACTCACTTCTTCATTTGAAACATATGGCTGCACCTCTCCTACTACAGGCATATCTGCTGTTGACGACTCCTCAGTTGCAGATTGCGGTCTGTTAACATCATGGGTACGACGGGCCTCTCTTTGAGAGCGCAACAAACAAGGGTGACATACCTTATCAGTTTCTGTAGCCTAGAAATAAAAAAATACTTTAGTGAGAAAGCTGAACAATTTCTTTTTAAATAAAATGTGTGGGAAAACAGGCATATCATTATTTTACATGGTAGAGCCATGCTGCAGTTATATTAACAGTATAGTTGTAGCACGAATGGGTCGGCTCGACCGGGGAGGAACCACGCTCTCACAGAATACCAGAGTCAAATAGTAGCTTAATGCTGCTGTGTTTCGTATGGTGAGTGTAGAGAACCGGAGACCCTTTTTACTGAAAACGAGGCATTACATCTAAGTCTTCACGGGTGACAATGTATCTGCATTTTGTTTTGTGATCGAGGACAGATGTAGATGTATCTGGACCACAGCAACCACTTACCATCAGGTGAACCGTGTGCTCATTTGTAACCCTATTCTATAAAAAAAAATCAGTAAAACCCTTTTGATATATTATAATACATTGCCATTCAGGTTTGATTAGCATATTTTTTTATAGTATAGGGAGACAAATAAGCACACAGTCCACCTGATGGTAAGTGGTTGCTGTGGCCCATAGCATCTACATCTATCCTCAATTACGAATCAAAATGCAGATGTGTTGTCACCCGTTAGGATTAAGATGGAATGCCTCATTTCCAGTAAAAAGGGTCTCTGGTTCTCTACACTCACCATACGAAATACAGCAGCGTTAAGCTATCATTTCACGCTGGTTTTCTGTAAGAGCGTGGTCCTTCCCCGGTCGAGCCGACCCATTCGTGCTAAAACTATACATCTCATATAACTGCAGCATGTCTCTACCACATATAAATAAGCACATAATAATCATAATATTTGGAAATCAAATCAATGATATATGTGTGTTAGTATATGTACACACAGGTACCAAAAATACCCATTTGGTTAAAGATTAGAAGAAAATGGTTCCAACAATCAAAACAATTAGCTAGCTCGAAACTAAGCCTGAGCGTATGCTATGGCAACTAGGATAACAGTACTTATATACGAGTATAGTACTTATATACGATTATAAACATCCATCACTGAGGTACAAATATTCATGCTCGTCACACAAACATTTGACATTTGGACTTGAACCCGCAACTGATGATTTCGTAGTCCGCGCAGACCACTAGACTAAGAAAGTCATCAAAAAATTTAAATATCCATAGCATACCTGTCTTGGAGTAACCCTGTTTTCAATAATGGTAAACATTAACTGATGCAGGTCCATGGGGTTATCTCTCAATATTCTGTAACAGACGAGAGATTAAATGTTGAGTTGAATTGTCATCCATTGTTCATCATAATAATTTATGTGGCAATCATATTATGTGTAATGTGTGCAGGCTATTTTTAAAACAATTAACATCGATCATTAAAGACTCAGCTGGACATACCTATAATAGATTTATTATTCTGATAAATATAAGATATTACGGTTCCTTAGAATAAATACTTATGATTTGTGGATACACCCAGCTACAGAGTAATGTGGTAACTCTTATGTCGACTTCCAAAGCACGGTATCGACGCAGTGTATTAACGCATATGTTGCAATTGATGCACATAATGCGAGTAACTCTGCCACGATCGCTCATCATGTCTGAATGAAGTAATCCTGTGACAACAAGATCCAAATCGTATGGCACAAATCGGAGTCCAGGTGAGAACAGCGCAATGTCGTCAGGTAGCAGTAGCAGTATCGGAATCCTTGGGCACGCAATATTCACACAATAGAAAATCAATATCGGATAAGTCCAGTGGCAGTCCAGGTCGAATAAAAATAAGGAAATCAAAAGGCAAAACCAAGAACACAAAACACAAGCAACACAAACGGCGCGAGAGCAGTGTGTGTGAGTGGGCGAGACGTAACTGAAACGTCATTACGACGCTGTCATAATTGACAGGTGTGTTGCTATAGCATTTATATTGTCTCTTACTAAACAAACTGAATTCCAAGAATATATAGAAAATACGACATATTTTTAAATAATCTTATGCCACTATTGTTTAAATGACATTTATAATCATTATATTATTTTATCGTAAACCAGATGCAACAAGATGAGGTGAAAATGATTTATAACTATGAAGCTGAAATAATTATAAACTGGTCACACTAAGTGACAGAAGCGATATCCATTTGATTACAATCAATTATGTCCCCAAAAAAGTAGTGATTCTTATTCCGGCCTTCACTAGTTATGATGTTTATTTGATAAAATGCAATAATTTTTTTGATTACGTCCTATAACAATTATAACTCAAGACGCTTCAAAATATTTGACATATTATTTCGCCATTGTCCTTTTCATTGTCACTCTTTCCTCATTCATTCTTTCCATATGACCAAACCACCGAAGCATTCCCTTCTTAATCCTAGTCACAACATCATCTTGCAAACCACACTCTTCTCTTATCACACAATTTCTTACCCTGTCATTCAGATTCAGCCCTAACATACTCCTTAAAGACCGCATTTCTACTGCGTTCATTCTACTCTCGTGTTTCTTCTGCCACACTCAACTTTCATCATCATCATTAATTCACTTAATTCCGCTCCGAAGCTTCGCTTGTGTCGCCGAGTTCAACTCTGCCCCGATCGCATCTTGCAGCGCCTATATATTTAAATTAGCAAAGAAATATCCAGAATGTTCAAGTAAACACGCGCAAGGTACCGAGCGTTCGAGTTTCGACTAGGCGCTGTCGGTTGAGTGATTTGTGATGTCATTTTCTCAATGCTCCCCTCGCTCTCGTTCCTGACACTAGATGGAGCTAGTGTATTGTCGATTTGAGCGCGTAACACTGCCCCCTCCTAAGACATGCTCGTCCCGAGCATTATCGGCCCCATAATAACGCGCTAAGCGATCCACATGGACGATCTTAGGAGTCCCTCTTGCGCCTTTCTGTAACGGCTCCGCAATGTCAAGGGCTGTTCTATCCCGTGGTGCACCAACATTGTACAATTTCGGTGCTCCTCTACTACGTGTCTGAGGTCCCCGCACGACCGCACAACTTGTACATATACGACACCAATCCTCGACATCCTCACGATAATGGACCCAGTAAAACTGTTCTCGGACCTTCAGTAGAGTTCGTTTAACTCCCAGATGGACTCTTGAACGACCATTATGGCACAGCTGTAGAACATTCGGCACTTTAGCTTTAGGGACAACCATTTGTAAACAACAGCTGTCCCTTCGACCATGGTCCCATTTACGGCACAGGACTCCATCCTGAATCAGCAAGCTGTCCCATTGGGCCCAATAGCTTTTCATGGTTGAACTCATCGCTGAGACGTCCCTCCACTTAGGCTTGGTAGCACGGGCCTTCATCCATCCCAGAATCGGCTTGATGTCCGGATCTTCCTGCTGTGCATGTCGTAGGCTGTCCTTCCACCCGTTGCTGAGGTGGTCTGTCCTGAGCATCCTCACGGATACCACTTCCTTACTCTCTTGCCTACTACAATGGTAGCAATCTTCAGGACAAGGTCTTCTTGTCAATGCATCTGCGTTGCCGTGAGATTTCCCGCTGCAGTGTCTGATAGTAAAGTCGTATTCCTGCTGCTGCTGGGCGGTGCTGTTAGCCGCACTTCCTTTCTGAGACCGTTCGCCTTCCCTTCCTAGGGTGTGCTTAGGGCAGCTGGACCGAAGATGGCCCCTTTCCCCACAGCCATAGCACCTAGGGCTGTATCTTTTAATATGGTCGCGAACCGTAACTGCTGTAACCTCCCTAGCGTGAGGTGAACGATGATCCTGTCGCCGCCAGGCAGTGCCGTTAGCTGTACTACCCTCTCGAGATCGATCAACTCTCCTTTCCACGGTTAGTTTAGGGCAGCTGGATTGAAGATGGCCCTTTTCCCCACAGCCATAGCACCTAGGGCTGTATCCTTTGCTGCGGTCACGGACTGTAGCTGCTGCAACCTCCCTGACGCGATGGGAACGATGATCCTGCCGCACGGCTTCCACCTCCAGTGCATGGGCCAAGGCGTTCTTAAGCGTCTCGCGGTGCCCGAGCCTCACAGCAGCTCTGACTTCCAGGTCACGGATGCCGTCGATGAATGTCTGCACCAGGTTCCCTTCAATGAGCGCAGGTACAGACCGGTATACTTTCCGCACCAGCTTCTCCACCTCTAGAGCCCACTGCTGCAGGTTTTCGTTGATGCGCTGCACACAATCTTTAAGCTGCGCACGAAAGACGTGTTCCAGGTGAGCGTCGCCATATCTCGCCTCCAATGCCTCGAGGAGTTGCTCATAAGTCACTCCCTCACCGAGAGCTTCCAGAACTGTTAAGGCCTGGTCGCGCAGGCCTAGTGTGAGAGCAGTCATGGCCTGACTTTTATTCCAGCCGTTCGCCTTCATAACAGCCTCGAACTGGATTTTGTAGGCTGACCAGGAAGAAGTCCCGTCGAACGGTGGCACTTTGAACCCACGTAGCGAAGGTGTAGTAGCTACTACGGGAGCTGTAGTTCCATCACCCAGTTTGAGTTCGTCCAGTGATTTCTTCATGTTAGACATTACGTTGTCAACCCTATTGTTCACTTGGTCGATACGGGTTTCAGCTTCCGACAGGCGGTTTTCATGTTGAGCAACCTTATCCTTCACCTCCCTTATCTCTTTCCCGAAGGTAGCGTGAATGTCCTTCATGAGGAGCATCTGCTCTTCCTTATCGCGCTTGAGCTGCTCTTCCAACCGACGGGCCTGTTCCTCCTGTCGGCGAGCCTGTTCCTCCTGCTGCTCTTTCAACAGACGGGCCTGTTCCTCTCGTCCGCGCTGCAGCTGCTCCTGTAGCATCGCCATCAGAGCACCTAAGTCAGGTGCTGCAGATGTAGGGAGGAGCTACTGACGGGCCTGCAGCCGGTGGTGCCCCAGAACGCGAAGCGGCTGACCCTCCGCCGTCTGCGGCGTTGCACCACCAAATCTCCTTTGGTCCGTCTCCTGCTGGCGTTGACTTCGGGTACGGACACCCTCCGTTTCCTCCTTAGGTAAAATCGGCATGATTTTATCCCACTTCTGACACCAATTGTTACGAGCTTGAAGTTCGTGACAATAAAAGTTGCCGATAAAATTACCTAAATTAACACTTTAATTTACTTTACACAAATTAAAACTAAAAACACTAATAATTAAACACACTAATTCACTTAATTCCGCTCCGAAGCTTCGCTTGTGTCGCCGAGTTCAACTCTGCCCCGATCGCATCTTGCAGCGCCTATATATTTAAATTAGCAAAGAAATATCCAGAATGTTCAAGTAAACACGCGCAAGGTACCGAGCGTTCGAGTTTCGACTAGGCGCTGTCGGTTGAGTGATTTGTGATGTCATTTTCTCAATGCTCCCCTCGCTCTCGTTCCTGACACTAGATGGCGCTAGTGTATTGTCGATTTGAGCGCGTAACAATATTATTATACAACCTATCAATTACAGTTCTATCTACATTTTTACACACTTTATCTGCACAAAAACTAAATTCTATTGGAAAATCAATATTTCTTAAATTATTAGGACATATTTTACTGTATATGTTAATCTGATCAACGCCCCTCACACCCCACTTCACCTCGTTACAACATTTATCTTTATATTGCGTTTTAAATGACAGATTACCTATCTTAAAATCTACTTCCAGTGGAAAATGATCTGACCAATAAACATCAAAGCATACCTTACAATTTAATACACATCGCCAAGCTGCCTCTGTTACCAGACAGTGATCAAGCCATCTTCGGCAGTCCTTTTTAATGTCACTTATGTAAGTGTATGTGTCCGATGTCATTTTTAAATGGACCACGTCTGCACAGAGCCACTTCCACTCCTCACAGAAGTTGGATAACTCATTATAGAATAATTCTTCGGGATGCGCATTAAGATCACCGAGAATAATTGCAGATTCAATTTCGCAATTCTCGATTACAGCGCCTATTTCACTTAACACCTCTGCAAACTCAATTAAATTATCTTGATATACACCGAAAAAAACCAGGAAAAAAAGACGTGTGGCACTCGGGGACTGCCGCGGTAAAGCTGTTGCATAGCATTTTTTATCAACTTATGCAATTATAATTAATTATTTATTTTATTTATGCAGTTAAGTCTTTGATATTAAATCAAGTTACACTTTTTGAGCGTGGTGACCGATAAGAAAACAAATCTGAACCAGAATCATAAAAACTGTATTATTCGGGCTAAACGAATCTAATAAAGATCTGTTATTTTTGTCTCCTGCGAAAAA